TGGAGCATAAAGTGATAGAACTTTTGGAAGGACGATTTGGAGTAGCTCAGAACACAGAACGTGCATATGCTGAGGCTCACATCCCCCCTCTAGAAATTCACCCCACGCAAACACAACAGCACGTACAGAGAAGGGTGTGTGATAAAAACCTTCACTAGTGCCTTGAGGTGGTCAAGAGAAATGGAAACAATTTGCAATATCCCTGGAGGGGGACTGTTCCCATGAAAACACACCAATATAAAAGAAAGACTTACGGACACAAAGAAGAATGAAACCGATGTATACGAACCGCCCTGGAAGGAAGACCCAGAATGCGTTAAGAAAAAAAATTGAAGAACATAGTCTCGATTTTTAAAAAGATTGTATATGCAGTGGTCTAGGACCACGGGGAGAGTTCTGGGTGGAGCTACACCCAGCGGTGAGCAGGCTCAGCCCGGGGGAGAGACGCTTAGGGGACGGACGACCCACACCTGTACCTTCCCCTCATCTGTCTTACCGAAACGTGCTGCAGAAATCACATGCTGCTTTCACAACGAAAACCAGTGAACTAAAAACAACTTCATAATGAGGCATCTTTATTCCTCACCCCCCTGGTCACGACAAACTCGCCAGCTCGCTTTGGTAAAGGCATTTAGCACAGGCAATACCTCCGGGCACATGCCGAGACGAGCAAGAGTCGGGCACGTTAACGTCGTTAAGTATCAATATTGTCATCTTTTAAAACACTCCACACGTGACAAGCGTTCCTAACCTGTTGTGCTGACCTTTTGGGTCCTTTTCATTCCAGGATATCTCTTGTATGCAGAACAGTATTCAAATCCGGCTGAGAGTCGCCGGGGTCGGTGGGGCTCACGCAGGTGTTCTATCGTGATCTGGATACATATTCTGATTTGGGGTTTATAAAATATCGGCTCTGTGGCTAAGGGGCCCTGGATGCTGTTGGTCAAATTGTGAGACAGGTGTGAGCCAGATTGTGCGGGAAATAGGGTAGGAATGAGACCTTAGACCCTCACCTTCGCTTTAGGAACTGGGATCACACACACTCGGGGCCCCGAGTCACTTGCCAACGTCCCGCATCTTCCATTATAGGTTGAGAGAGGGCGCTGTAGTCAGAGGAATCTACTGAGAAAAGGGGGGGTGTTACCTGGGTAGATTCCAGGTGATGGTGTAGTCATAGAGCTTCGAGGCCCCCTTCGCGCCCTCTCTCTACAGGTGACAACGGGTCTTGAGCCAGAAGAGACGTAGTTTCACCTCCTAAAGAAGAAAACAGACCCCCCAGTTAGGTTGGGGGGGGGGGGAGGAGGGTGGCTTCACCCAGAGCTGAGACCCAGTGAGTCAGACCTAAGAACTGGTAAACGTATGGAATCTATGGAAGACGGTGAGACTAGAAGCCGGGAAAGAGCCAAGAATAGAACCCTGGCAAGTGCCAATATTATAGGGGAAATTGGGGAATGAAAGGGCTCCCCTAACGACTCGAGGAGGAAGTTGCCTGAGAGATAGAAGCAGAGGGAAGGCCCCAGAACAGAGATAATGTCTCCGTTATCCTGTGATGCTGCTGGAACTTCTGGATAAATGGATGCCGGACGATTGGAGCAAGTTGTCAACTCCTCTTGGCAATTACTCAAAAGCAACAAGGAAAGGACGAAGGCATCATCTATTGGAAACCGTGAGAAATAGGTAACTTTTTCCCACTTTGCCAAACGCAAGAAGAATGAGCAGGGCTTTGGCAGGAAAAGGAGAGACGATGCCAGTAATTGCAAAGAAAAATGCCCCTCTTCAAGGTGAAGGGCATTCCCGAAGTGCAAAAGTAAAATCCCTTTTTAAAATGGTGAGAATAAAGTGTGCGGGTTGGCACCAAATTGGGACTGGCTCCAAGAATCAATGCACTAAATGAAGAAAGCCGGTGAGACGAGCTGAATCTGGAGGAGGCAGTTTGTCCTTGAGACGAGAGGAGAAGAGGGTCAGCGTTGTGAACAGTTTGAAAACTGCCCGATTCCCCTGCTTGGGGGAAACAGAAACAGAAACTCGTGCAGAACGCCCCAGATCAGAAAGAACAGTTCTGTTGCCATAGAACGCAGTCCTGACTTCTTCCTTATTTCAATCTCCCATAAATAGCTGGTCCATGAAAGCAAGCAACCCAAACAAGGTCTCCACAAAAAAAATATTAACCCACCAACAACAATCGACCCAACTGAAGAGCGGGTTAAGGACCTGAGTAGACATTTCTCCAAAGACAACATAATAATGGCCAATAAACCCACGAAAAGATGCTCCACATCACTCATCATCAGGGAGATGCCAACCCAAACCACAAGGAGAGACCATCTCATACCTGCTAAGATACAGATTGTAAAGAGAGAGAGAGAGAAAGCGAGAGAGAGAGAAAATAACAAGGGTTGGCAAGAGCATGGAGAAACTTGTGCATTGCTAGGGTATTGAATGTAAAATGGTGCAGCCAACGGGTATGTCAGTTACCCCCCAAAATTAAAAGTAGAATTACTATATTTCCAGCGATCCACTGCCTGGTAGATATGCAAAAAGACCCTGAAAGCAGGCTCTCCAGCAGATATGTGTAAACCCGTGTTTACGGCAGCATTAGTCATAATAGCCAAAAGGTAGAAACAACACAAATGGGTAAGTAGAGAAACATAACATGTGGGATATGGAATAGATATACAAAATATACCATGGAATATGATTCAGCCTTAAGAAGGAGTGAAATTCTGCCCCATGCCACACCACAGATGAACCTTGAAGACTTTACGCTTGGCGGAATGAGTCAGACACAAAAGACAAATGTTGTAGGATTCCATTTATATGCGGGTGCTGGAGGAGTCAAGTTCACAAAGATGGAGGGTAGAAAAGTGGTCGGCAGGAGCTGAGGGGTGGGGCGGGGAGGGGGGAGCAAGAATGGGGAATTAGTGCTTAATGGACACAGAGTTTCAGTGTGGGAAGATGAAAAAGTTTTGGAGATGGGTGCAGAAGAATGTACATGTACTTAATACTGCTGAAGGGTACACCTAAAAAATGATTAAAATGGTTCGTTTTATGTTGCCTATATTTTACCACAATAAAACATATATATAGGTCCAAGGTCCAAATGGAAACCGGAAAAAGAAAATCAGAAAGAAATGGCAGATAAAGAACACTCACCAGAAAGGTGTTGCCAAAAAGCTGATGAAAATGATCAACAATTCTTTTGCGATTCATTTTCTTAAAGCCAGTGAAGCGATTTCCTTTATGATATAAGAGCAAAACACGTGATCTCAGGGCTCAGGGAAGACACGGCAAAACAGGAGGCAATTAAGAGGAAACTGGTCAAGCTTAACAAAGAAGAGAGAAGGAAAATAAAGCCATTGCAGAAATAAGTGAGATAGCAGAATTCACACAAGGGGAAAAAGACACTGTTAAAAAAGAAATAGTAATCGACAACGAAGACAAAAATGAGGTCAATGAGCAAAATGAAATGAAGACAAAGGTCTGGCAAAAAATACACGGAATAAAGGCAAAATCCAATGCAGGCGAGGTGGAACTTCCAAAGAAGAATACTGAAAAGTGTGAACAGAACGAGTATTTAAAGTTAAAACTCAAGGGGCGCCTGGCTGGCTCAGTCAGTGGAGTGTGCAACTCTTCATCTCGGGATCGTGAGTTCGCGCCCCATGGGGGGCGTGGAGCTTACTTAAAAATAAAATCTTTAAAAATATAAAATAAAACAAAGTTAAAACTCAAGAAATCCTTCTGGACACAAAGAAGCACACCACGTCCCAGGAAAAGTGGCCACCGAAAGGTGGTACCGGGCCACAGTCTAGCAAAGTTACCAGAATCCACATGGAACAAAGGGACCCCCGGGCCACCAAGCACGTGGGCTTCAGATTTTCCATAACAACCCTCAGCACAAGAGCCACGGAGCTGCGCCTTTGCAAGCTGCTTGTGATGACTGGGAGTGTGCGTGTGTGTGACAATTTTGTAATTGTGTTTGTGTCTTGGGATATAGATAGACGATAGAGACAGAGGTAGAGATAGAGATAGAGATACAGATAGATTTGGATATGGATATAGACATAGACATTGACGTCGATATAGATATAGATTTGGATATAGATACAGATACAGATATAGATATAGATAGATTTAGATTTAGATTTAGATTTGGATTTGGATATGGAGATAGACGTAGACATTGACATCAATATAGATACAGATTTTTTGGCATGCTATCAGCTCTTAGGAACACAGAAGAAAAGCATTTTGATTCCTAATATCTTATATTTACTTTATAGAATATATCCAGAAACTGGATAAATTCTATCCTTTAGCCTCTTACCCAAAACCGACATACACATACTTTTTACAGGTTCATCGCAAGAAACGCAGATGCTTCAGATACACGTCAGGAAGAGAAGACAAATCCCTTTCGATGCGGCCCCCGGGGTGATAATCGGTGTGCAGACTGATAGTGTGACAGGCAGGGTGGTTCACAAAGGACTTCACACGCATTTTCGCCCCCTGTGGCTTCCAACGCCCTTTGTCAGGTGAGTGAGCTTACGTTCCCCGCGTGTCACAGCCACGGGGAGCGCAGTGCCGGCAAGCGAGGTACTTACTCGGGCTCCTCTTCTTGGGCGCACAGCGAGGTACTTACTCGGGCTCCTCTTCTTGGGCACACAGCCGACGAGGGCGGGCTCCCCAACTCCACAGTTGTGCCACCTTGGGCCTCTACACGGGGTCCCATAACTGAATGAAAGGTCTCTCTAACTTTGGAACTTTAGGCAGATGATGAGATGAGATGAGATGAGATGAGGTGGCTTTGAACCGGGTTTCCGAGGGTCCAGGGCGCAGCTGATTGCTGTCCCGCTGTCCTCCGTGTCAGCCACCCGGGCAGCTGACAAAGAGCTCAGTAAATATACAGCCACTTATCACCAGGTTTGGGGAGGCACCTGTTTTGGCCTTCTCAGAAAAAAAGACCTGTTGTACAAACAGCTCAAGGGAATGAGTGTATTTACCTTGGAACGGAACCATGGCCGTGGCTGGGTCCGCATCCAGCCGTCCTTTACAGTCGTGGTGATCTTTCTTTCTTTCCTTTTTTTTTTTTTTTTTTTAACGTTTATTTATTGTAGAGAGAGAGAGAGCAAGCAAGCGTGAGTGCACAAGCAGGGGAGGGGCAGAGAGAGAGGGAGACAGAATCTGAAACAGGCTCCAGGCTCTGAGCTGTCAGCACAGAGCCTGACACGGGGCTCGAACTCATGGAGTGTGAGATAATGACCTGAGCTGAAGTCAGACGCCCAATTGATTGAGCCACCCAGGCGCCCCAGTTGTGGGGAACGTTCTGAAGCAGGAGTGTGATCCTAAGGTTCCCCTGTAGACCAGCCCTTCTCAGACTTCAGTGTGGACACAAGTCCCCAGGAATCCGGTCCGATGGCTGGCTCAGTTTCACTCGTCTTGGACAGGGTGTAAAATTCTGCATTTCTCTTGTTTTTTATTTTTTATTTTAGAGAGAGAGAGAGAGAGAGCACATAAGCAGGGGAGATGGGCAGAGGGAGAGGGAGAGAGAGAAAGAGAGAGACAGAGAGAGACAGAGAGAGAGAGAGAGAGAGAATCTTAAGCAGGCTCCACATGCAGTGCAGAGCCCAACATGGGGCTCGATCCCATGACCCTGGGATCGTGACCTGAGCCAAAATTAAGAGTCAGGTGCTCAACCAACTGAGCCACCCAGGTGCCCCAAATTCTGCATTGCTAACCAAACTCCCAGGGAGCCCTGCCAGAGGCAGACCAAACTTGGAGTAGCCCGGAGGCAAGGAATCCTTCTCTGGGTCCCCATTGGTCTCGAGTTCAAGTTAAAGCTTTTCCCTGTGGCTTCCTGGCCCGCTTGACCTGGCCCTGACTGGTTCCAGCCTCTGTTTTCATTACCGCAAGGTCGCCGGATCAACGAAAGGCCCGTATCCAGAAAAGATAACAAACTCCGGCCAATGAATAAGAAAAAGACACGTAACAGAGAAACAGGTGAGCAGCTTGACTAGGTAGCTCACAAAAGAGGGTGCTCAGTGGCCAGTAAATACGTGAAAAGCAGCTGGAACTCACTGGTGACTAGGTGCCTGCATATTAAAGACCAAATGATAGACACCTGTCCCCCAGGCTGCGGGGGTCAACACGTTCCCTGTGCCCCGTGAAGACCCACCCTTCGTGCAGAGCCCTGCCCACCTGTGCCAGGGGGCTGATGGTGCTCACAGGCCTTGCGTCTTTGGGGGAGACTGCAGGACCCTAAGAGCCAGCAGTAGTGACACGCACGGCCGCCTCATCAGTCCTAAGGCAGGACAACCAGGCAGACCTGAAGGAATCCAGGAGAGGGAGAGCCCGGGAGACCCCCACCCCAGGCTGCAGGTGCGTCCCTGGAGCTTGCTGTTCAGCAACAGGGCAGTTGTGGGTCCGCTGGTCCTGGAGACTTAGGTCAGGCTGGCTCCAGCCTGAGTTTCCCCTCTTGCCTTCCTGCTTCGGGGAGTCGGCTCTTATCCAAGAAAAGGTTACTTATTTGGGGGGATGGGGCAGAGTAAGTAGGGGGGAGGAGAAGCGAGGGGAGGGGTAGAGAGTGTGCAGAGGAGTGGAAACGGGCTGTTCTCCCTGCCCCGCACCCAGGGTCCCCCCTCTGCTCCGCCCTCCCACACTGGGTGTCCAGATCCTGCTCTTACAACACCACAGAATACATCCCCCCCCCCCCATCAGGATACCTTTTTCTCCTTGGAGCCTGGCAGATGAGACCAGCAAAACCACCTGCTAATTCCCTGACGTCACTTCCTTTTCTTCCCTTCCCACAACCTCTTTGCCCCCAGCCCCGATTTTGTGGATTGCATACAGGCCCTGGCAGAAATTGCCTTGAGTTCAAAGTCAGGCTTTACCGTTTACTTGCTGTGTGGCCTTGGGTAAGTAAATCAACCTCTCTGTACCTGTGTGCTCATCTTAAAGACGGGAGAAGGACACTTCGGTGATTCGTTGAGGAGAGAAATGAGTTAACACAGGAAAGCGTGAGATAATTTCACGTATTACTGGCACTGCTTTGGTTCTGGATTTCTATTCATTTATTTTTTAAATTTCTTTATTTTGGGGGGTTGAGGGGAGGCAGAGAGAGTCGTAAGCGGGCTGCGTGCTGAGGACGGAGCCTGACTCGGGGCTCGATCCCACCACCCTGAGAACATGACCGGAGCCGAAATCGAAAGTTGGACGCTCCACCGACTGAGCCACCCCGGCACCCCGTCTGTTTCTTTTAATTATTATTGCCGTTTAAGGCCTTTCTTCCCGGCCCTGCCTCTCCCCCCTGGGCTTCCACAGAAGGAATGTGCGCTGCGTGGAGCCTCCGGCCCCCACTCGTTCACAGGACGCGAAACTCCGCGCGGCCCGTCATCCTTAATCACCTTTGACGGTTCGTCGGTACGACGCTGGGACCGGCCAGTTTTCCCGGACTTTCTTCCTCCTCAGACACAGGGGGCCTCTGTGTCTGCCGCACGGTGCCTGGCCAAGTAAGGAGTAGCCTTCGCTCCTTTTATTACAAACTTCAGGCCTGGGCTGTGTCTAATCTCCTGTCACATGACTGGGCCGGGGTGGCCTCTGTGCATTGGCCTCGGCTTGTCATTTCCCCACCGCAGGCCGAGACCTGTTGACTCCAAAGCCCAAAACCGAAGCAGGAGGCATCACAATCCCGGACTTCAAGCTGTATTACAAAGCTGTAATCATCAAGACAGCACAGTTCTGGCACAAGAACAGACACTCAGATCGATGGAACAGAACAGAGAACCCAGAAATGGACCCACAAACGTGCGGCCAACTAATCTTTGACAAAGCAGGAAAGAATATCCAATGGAATAAAGACAGTCTCTTCAGCAGGTGGTGTTGGGAAAACTGGACAGCGACATGCAGAAGAATGAACCTGGACCACTTTCTTACACCATCCACAAAAATAAACTCAAAATGTATGAAAGGCCTAAATGTAAGACAGGAAGCCATCAAAATCCTCGAGGAGAAAGCAGGCAAAAACCTCTCTGATCTTGGCTGCATCCACTTCTTACTCAACACGTCTCCAGAGGCAAGGGAAACAAAAACAAAAATAAACTATTGGGACCTCATCAAAATAAAAAGCTTCTGCACAGCGAAGGAAATGATCAGCAAAACTAAAAGGCAACCAATGGAAGGGGAGAAGATATTTGCAAATGACATATCAGATAAAGGGTTAGTATCCAAAATCTATAAAGAACTTATCAAACTCAACACCCAAAAAACGAATAATCCAGTGAAGAAATGGGCAAAAGACATGAATAGACACTTCTCCAAAGAAGACATCCAGTTGGCCAACTGACACATGAAAAAAATGCTCAACATCACTCATCATCAGGGAAATACAAATCAAAACCACAGTGAGATACCAACTCACACCTGCCAGGATGGCTAACAGCAACTCAGGCAACAACAGATGTTGGCGAGGATGCGGAGAAAGAGGATCTATTTTGCCCTTCTGGTAGGAGTGCAAGCTGGTGCAGCCACTCTGGAAAACAGTATGGAGGTTCCTCAAAAAATTAAAAAAAGAACTACCTTACGACCCAGTAATTGCACTACTAAGTATTTACCCAAGGGATACAAGTGTGCTGTTTTGAAGGGGCACATGCACCCCAATGTTTATAGCAGCGCTATCGACAATAGCCAAAGTCTGGAAAGAGCCCAAATGTACATCAATGGATGAATGGATAAAGAAGATGTCGTATAGATATACAATGGAGGATTACTCGGCAATCAAAAAGAATGAAACCTTGCCATTTGCAACTATGTGGATGGAACTAGAGGGTATTGTGCTAAGCAAAATTAGTCAGAGAAAGACAAATATCATATGACTTCACTCACGAGGAATTTAAGATACTAAACAGATGAACATAAGGGAAGGGAAGCAAAAATAATATAAAAATCGAGAGGGGGACAAAACAGAAGAGACTCAAATAGAGAACAGATTGAAGGTTACTGGAGGGGTTGTGGGAGGGGGGATGGGCTCAATGGGTGAGGAGCATTAAGGAATCGACTCCTGAAATCATTGTTGCACTATATGCTCACTAACTTGGATGTAAACTAAACAATTAATTGATTGATTTAAATTTTTTTTAACATTTATTTTTGAGACAGAGAGAGACAGAGCATGAACACGGGAGGGGCAGAGAGAGATGGAGACACAGAATCGGAAACAGGCTCCAGGCTCTGAGCCGTCAGCACAGAGCCCGACGCGGGGCTCAAACTCACGGACCGCGAGATCATGACCTGAGCCGAAGTTGGCCGCTTAACCGACTGACCCACCCAGGCGCCCCAACTGATTTAAAAATAAAACAAAAACAAGGAAACAAACAAAAATGGCAGCAAAAAAAAAAAGTATCTGTCATAGAGCAAATGCTTAAACATGCTGTTGGTCATTAGTCGTATGCGTTCTTTCTGAGCCAGCCAGTTCTGTGGATCACCTATAGTGTGTACAGGATTTTGATGGGAACTGAAGGTTAGTATAAAGCAATAACCCTGCTCGTCAAGTAACGAAAATAGTTATTGTGAAGATCGAAAACAAAGAACGTCTGAACCTTAAAATATACTGGTAAGCGTACACCCAATTTCACGGCAACATTATTCACAACAGCCCCAAAGTGGAAGCAATCCGCCTGTCTGCGGACAAGTAGGTAAACAAAACATGGCGCGTACACACAATATTATTCAGCCTTAAGAAGGAAGGAAGCTCTGGCACACGCTACCACATGGATGAGCCTTGAAGACATTTAGCTGAGTAAAATTAGCCAATTACAAAAGGCCAATTCCATAGGATTCCACTCATATGAGGAACCTGGAGTAGTCAAATTCCCAGCGGTAGAGAGGAGGTTGGTGGTTGTCAGGGGCTGGAGAGATAAAGGAATGTTTACTCAGCACAGAGTTTCAGTTTTGCAAGGTGGAAAAGTTTGGGAGATGGACGATGGTGATTGCTGCGATGGTGATGTACACTTAAACATGGGTGA